TGGGGGAGGGGGGAGGGTCAGAACCCTGCCATGGAACTGTTCCCTTCATCACGAGTTCTGCTGAATGCCGCGATGGGTCGGGTAGGGGGGGAAACGGGTTGGGGTAGGATAGGACTAGCAACATTTGAAGTCCCTGTCACCTCTTCCGACTCTTCTGAGTGCCTTCTGTGGGGACTCCGGCTGTGCTGGGAGAAATACTTGAACTTGCCTCTTTTACCTGCTGCTTCTCCAAAAATCTGCCTGGGTTTGGTTCCCTATTTTTCTCTCCTCTCCCCCTCCCCCCATCCTTCCTATGAAAGGTGCCATGGAAGAGGCTACAGGGCCAAACGCTGAGCCACCTGCCCTTTTCCTGCCTCCTTTAGTAAAACTCCGAGTGAACTGGTCTTCCTTTTTGGTTTTTACTTAACTGTTTCAAAGCCAAGACCTCACACACACGAAAATGCACAAACAATGCAAATCAACAGAAAAACTGTAAATGTGTGTACAGTCGGCATGGGTAGTGTACAAAAGGATTGTAGTTGATTGAGTTTTTTTTTTTAATTTTGCCTTTAAGTTATTTTACCTGTTTTTGTTTTCTTTTCTTTCTTCCTTTTCTCTCTCTCTCTTTTTTTTTTTTTTGGAAAAGATGCGCATTCTAACCTGGAGGTCAACGTTATGTATTTATTTATTTATTTATTTGGTTCCCTTCCCTGCTCCAAGCTTCCACGGCTGCTGCCATAGTTTCTTTCCTCCTTTCCTCCTCTGACTTGGGGACCTTTAGGGGAGGGCTCGCTCTGTTCGTAGGGTGACGGGACTCAGGCGGGACAGCTGCTGCGGCTCCCTGACTGCTGCGGGGCCCCCTCACCTACTCGCCCAAGTGGGTATGGGTTCCGTGGGGGAGGGGAAGGGGCATTGCTGACTGGTGTACATAGGATAGATATATGAAAAGCAGTTCTGGATGGTGTGCCTTCCGGATCCTCTCTGGGGCTGTGTTTTGAGCAGTATGTAGCCTGCTGGTTTTATCTGAGTGAAATACTGTACAGGGGAATAAAAGAGATCTTATTATTATTATTTTTTTTTTTATACTTGGCGTTTTTTGAATAAAAACCTTTGTCTTAACTTGTGGCTTTTAAAGTGTTGTCCGTGCTGAGGGGAGGCTCATTTCTTGAATTCCTGGCGGGTGCCTCAATCTCCTGGGAGGAAAGAGAGCGTTAAGCCTAAATTGGGTTTCCTTCAACAGGACACGTGGGCTAGTAGCCTTTCTGAAATAAATATGCGGCCAAAGGCTTGGTCGGGGGCAGCCTTGGGTGGGCAAATTCGGCCTGAGGGGTCCGACCTCTATTTTTTTTTTTTTTAATTTTTTTTTTCAACGTTTATTTATTTTTGGGACAGAGAGAGACAGCATGAACGGGCGAGGGGCAGAGAGAGAGGGAGACACAGAATCGGAAACAGGCTCCAGGCTCTGAGCCATCAGCCCAGAGCCTGACGCAGGGCTCGAACTCACGGACCGCGAGATCGTGACCTGGCTGAA